TGGCTTGGCTCCAGTTTCATAGAATTGTGCCCACAGCCAAACTAGCGGTTAATAGGGTACCGTTGGACAGTACTTGTCGAAGATGCCGGAAAACGGAAGAATCAGCCACACACTTATGGTGGGGTTGTATCGAGTCCAAGAGGATCTGGGTGTGGTGGGCAAAGCTATGGCAGAGGAACGTGGAGCAGCTGGTTCAGTGGGAAATTTAAAGTGTTTCGTGGTGGGGGGTATCTTGCATAATGTGGAGGAAGTGGGTAATGGCTGGGTGTACGTGGCCCAGGCTTGCAGAGCGGCCATCATGCAGGTTATATGGAGAATCAGGAACAATAGAGTCTTCCATTCCAGGTTCTATTCTGATCTCAGTATCATGAACATGGTTCTGGATGGTATACGATCCCTGATTTGGGTAGACTGGAGGAGAGCCAGAAGTGCTTTGAATAAAAGAGCAGCGAGGGACCGGTTCTTCAGTACGTGGAGACAGAGAGTCAGGATGATCAGGACCAAGGCTGCAGGCATCATCATTGAACCATAGCTGATGGGGCCCAGGCCTCCATGACTTGGCAGAATTCAGAATCATTCAATTTGATAGCAGTACCTGCTCATTTCATCAAAATCTTGGACTGTATTAGAATGTCATATCTTGCTGGTACCCCAGGCTTTTTTAGGACATCTTCACTTTGTTCTGGCGGTCAGTTTGTATGACTGAAGAGGCATCTGGAGTTCTACGACTAGAACAACACCTTATTTGGATATGTTTTTTTTTCGATTGATACTATGTTCATTCAAGTTATATGCGAGGGATGCTGGATCCGTTTTCCAGCAGGTGCTGCTCCCCACCAGTAGATCGGAGCCACCCCGATATTAGGTAGGAGGGTACGCTTTTATCAGCCCTCCTATCTGCTGTCGTGGGTTTGTTATTAAAAAAAAAAAAAAAAAAAAAAAAAAAAAAAAAAAAAAAAAAAAAAAAAAAGACTCGTGGCCCCCGGCGATTAATTTATCTCTACCGCCCTTGTGGTGAAGAGGTCGATTCAGTCTATTCAGTTGATGCGGAACCTTAGCGAGATTTTGTTCTTTGAACTAATATGCGGACGTTGCACCCGGTTTCCAACAGGTGACGCTCCCCACCAATATAGATTGGTGCCATTGAACTCCCCCACCCGCCCGGGCTCTCCTATAGCCTTCCTGCTAGTGCCTGGTAGTCGCCTGGAAAATCCGCACAAATAGCACTGCATTCTTTGTTACCGGACGCTATGGAGGGCCCTACCCCAGTCCCCAGTCCCCAGTCCCCAGTCTCAGCTCTGATTCATGCCCTCCATAGCGTCCCGTAACCAAGAATCTGAGCTACTACTATGGTATGAAAACACCTTCTGCTACCATACCATACCATAGTAGTAGCTCAGATTCTTGGTATGAATCATAGCATAAGTAGGGCAGCTACTACTATGGTATGGTATGGTATGGTAACAGAAGGTGTTTTCATGATGGCACCTTTCAACTTTGGCCAGGGGGTGTTGTCCCCCACCAGTACCTTTGTCGGTTCGAAAATACTCGGCCTCCGACCTTTCAGGAGGCCGAAACGAAACGACGGCCGCCGATCAGATTGATCAACGTCGGGCTCGGCCTCCTGAAAGTTTGGGTACTGGCCAGGACTTGTCGAAACCGGACGCCAAAGGTACTGGTGGCTTAAATTTGAAAAAGCACCCAACTTGAAGGCTTTAATTGACATGTGATTAATTTTGGGGGAGCTATGACATGCTGGAGCTGGAGAAAACGTAACCTTCTCTCCGCTATGGAAACATAGAGGTAATAAACGAGCTCACTATGGCATCCTTTTTTGCAGCAACTACAGGGATGTAAATTTACAAAAGGATATAATAAGGGGTTATCGGTTATTCTACTTGTAGCCAATGAGGTTATATGGTATTGGCATGTGGTTTCTCCAATGATTCTAAGAGTGTCTGTCATCTGATGAACCATGCTCTTTTTAAAGCATTACCTTGGTCGAGTGCAGGTTCTGCGATTCATGCAATGTCTGAGGAACAAGATATGCGCAAAATGGGAGGATTTGCTTCTATGTTACCTTTTACTTACTATGCTATGATGCTAATTGATTGGAAAAAAGAGAAAAGAAAAGAAAAAAAGATTCTCAATGATCCAATCCTACTTACCCACATACATG